GCAGGAGATATCTTTTCCTGTTTGGATAGTCCAGGGGCAAAACGATCCAGGTGAGAATTACAGGAGACAAAGTCAGAGAGGAAAGAAGGGCTGATCGCGGGGCCTCGGAGGTCCTACAAAGGACCTGGGCTTTTACTCCGAGGGCTCTGTAACGCCTTAAGGGGTTTGGCACAGAGGGCACAGGGCTGCACAGGAAGAGGCAGTGCCGGGCCCAGGGTGTGCTGGATTGTGTCCAGCTGCCTGTGCAGGAGGAGGAACAGAGGCAGAAGCAGAGCTACTAGTTCAGAGGTGGCTGCAAGAATTCCGGCAGGTGCTGTTGGCCTGGACCTGGCCGAGGCCACAGGTGGGAAGTGGTCAGCGAGGTCAGAGTGGGTATGGCCAGAGCCAGGTGTGGACCATGCTAGTTTCCAGGGAATCTTAGGCCCCTCGGTCTCAAAGTCTGAATCTAATGAGAGGTGAGCAGTCGGATGTGCAGCCCACAGGATACTCTTTACAGCCAAGCCCAAGAAATGAACTCCGACATCACATTAGTTTTTGATAGACGATTTAACTTCCATGAGTGCCTCTCATCTGTAACATGGGGCCATCATCGTATTGGGCCCATGGGCCCAGGGGTGATGTGTATAACGCATAGCACAGTGCCTGGCATGTAGTAAATCCTCAAGGAATGTTGGGTATCGATTGGGGATAAAAATAGACATTTGGTTACCATTCCTGGCTACCACCACTAGAGGACGCTACTAGCTTCAGATCTTTTAACCTTAATTCATGAATTCCACATATCATGCAAATCCATATAGCGGGGGCCCAACATACCTGCCTAATATCTGTCCCCCTTTTTCTGTCACCTGTTGCTGATTTCTGATCACATTTTACAATTCGATCACCTCGCTTTCTTATATTTCTCCCTTCACCTGGGTCTCCAGGCTCAAATGCAGCCTCTTACAGGAAGCATTCCTTGATGACCTGATTGGCATGAAGTATTTGTCTTCTGTGCTCCCTTAGTACATGAATTTCCATTAAACACAAATCACATTCATTGAACTACAATTCTTCACTCAAAAGAAGGCAACTAACACTTATGTACTCAGTGATGTATATGCCTTTTCTCTTGTAAACCACATAACAGCCTCATAACATGTATATTATTATCTCCACTTTATAGTGAAAAAAAAATAGGAGCAGGTATCCCTCCCCCACAGACCCTAACTCGTCGATTTCAATTAAAATCTCTCCACAGTGTTCGTAAGCGTAGGGAATGGCAGGGAGCAGTGGAGAAGGGCCTATGCGGGGAGGGGAGAGGGCGGGGCCAGAATTAGGAGGACCGCTTGGTGACGGAGGGAGCACAGCCAGCTGGACTTTGGCAGCGCCTGAAGGACAGAGCTGCATCATGCAGGCGCAGGGCAGATGACAGATGCATACGTGAGGGAACAGCACGGAACCGCTGGCCTTGAACAAGACCTAGGTAAACGTGGGCCATTCTCCCCTCAGGGGGCTGTGCATGCCTCATCTGTCACCTGGTTTGATCACAGGGCGATCCCAGAGTCGGCAAGGCACAGGTTTTCTCAATCTTTACCCTGCGAGACTGGGCTTGCAAGGAATGGGAGTGGCACCTGCTTCTCCCTTGTGACCTCAGCGGGCATAGTGCCAAAGGGACAACTGCAACTCTCCATCATCTTCTAGAGGGGGAGAGAAACCCATGGTCATGTTCACCCCAAGGCTCTACTCCTCACACCCTTTTCTTTCCATGTATTTTCTTAGCTCACCTTGTTTTAGCTTATTTTGTTTTCCTTTTGATTTCTGTAAACAAACTATGGTCCAGCCTCTAATCAATTTTCTATATGAAAACACACATGCACACGCGCGCGTGCACACACACACACACACACACATGACCTCTGCTGCTACAGACAACTCCATAGGCTCGCAGTGATTACCTGGACAGAAGTGTTATGGAGCATCTCCAGAAAGGTGTTCTTTCCGTCTCTCACGGCCCCTCAGCTGAGACAGGCAGACCTGTAGGACACTCTGGGCAGCAAGGACCTCCGTGACCAGGTAGTTCAAGAGGGGGACCAGGAGCATGTACTCTCAGCTTGTGTTGACAGGGTGGGAGTCAGTGCAGCTTTCGAAGAGCAGTTTGCTGGTTTAAACCCAGAAGCCTTAAAAATGTGTGTAGTGTTTGAGTCAGCAAACATTTAAGAACGCTGCCAGATGGTTTTCAAAAAAAGATTTCTCTACGAGGAAGCATGCTACTTACAATAATGAAAAGCTGGAAATAACCGCAGTGTCCAACAATAGGGGATTAGTTAAATAAACTGCGGTGCAGCCACGCAGTGAAACACTGTGTGGTATTAAAAAAAGCTAGTTATAGAAGATAAAGCAACGTGGAAAGTGTTCACGACATGGTAGTCAAGCGTAAACAAGTAGGTGATAAAAAGCCTGTGTACATTATAATCTCAAATTTATTTTTAACAAGTGTGTTCGAATAAGAGCATAAATGGACAACTACAGAAATATGTCGAGATAGTATCATTTCAGCATTTGCGGTATAAACGATTTTGATTTTCTTCTTTGTGCTTTTTGGTACATTGGTGGTGGACAGTAGCTTGGAGCAAGACTACCTGGACTGGGACCCCAGGCTCCACCGCATACTAGCTATGAGACGTGCACGAGTTACTTTCTCTGTGCCTCAGTTTTACCCTTTATAAGATGCGGACCATGATCATAATAATCCACGCCTCGTCTGCTTGTCATAAGGATTAAATGAGTGAAAATACATGCAGAGCGTTCAGTATAGTGTCTGGTCATAGTACACACTTTACAAGTGCTGCCTATTATTATTTTAAATATTTGCTTTGGTGAACATTTAAAACTTGTAGATTTAGAAAAAAAAAATGTAATAATTAGTTTTAAACAAAGGAAAGGGACCAGGTTATTGCAAGAGGGCCAGATCAGTGAAAGAGAAGAGTCAAGACCACCCCGAGAACCACCTATCGCTGCCCCCAGAGTCATTACCAAGGACAGAAATGGGGTCGTTAGCCTTGTCATTTACAGACCAAATGCGCTTTGGTCCAAATTGCCTGGAAAATTAGAAGAAAGAAATAACTTTTCATTGAATGATCCTGATGGAGGGGTCAACACTTTTCGAGATGTGGGTGGTACTATTTCTTGCTGGCTGGAATGGCGAAGTTGGGGGAGGGTCTGGGGATCTGAAATCAAGTGGGAGGGGATGGTAGGAGGTGATCCTGACCTTTGGGGGAGTCACTACTGAAAACGTTCCCCTTTTCCTGCAGAGTTCTCGTTTTGTGCTGCCTGAGCTAGATCATTCAAATCATTGCTTCTTCTATGGGATTTATGAAGTGGGCAGTCTGTAAAGGGGCTAAGTCTGTTGATTATCAGGGCAATGGCTTCAGTGATCTAATAATGATGACTACTAGTTATCGACTACTTCCTGTGTACGGGGACTCAGTACTAAAAACCCTAGCCATGAAATTTCTCATTTAGTCTTTACAGTTGCCCTGTGAGGTTAGTGCTGGCAGCAGCCTTAGACTTATTTCATAGACAAGGAGCCTGAGCACACAGAGTTGAGTTAACCTCAGGGCCAGGAAGCTTTTTGGGTGTGGGGCTGCGTTTGGAACCCTGGCCACCCGGTTTAGAGTCACGAGGTTCAACACTGTTCTGTCTTGGTTTCCTTTGGCGCTGGTCATCAGATGTCTTTGAGAGCCCTTATGAAAGTTTTTTCCTCATGCCTCTGAGACCTGACTCCTACCTTTTTACGCTCCCACCCAAAAGAAGAAGCCCCATTTGATTGCCTCATCCCGCCCTATGGAGTTGGGAAATACTTTTTTTAAATAGCCTGAAGTTCATTTGGCGTGTTAGTGAATTTTCTGAATTGTACGTCTGTCTCTTAAGGTGCAGAAGCCCGGGTGACTAGCGCTTACCTATTTCTATGGAGGCACAATTTATTAAAAAGGTTTAGCATTTTTTTAAATTATGGGAAAAATTGAAAATCTATACCCATTAAACAGCAACTCTCCATTTCCCCCTCCTCCCAGACCCAGGCAGCCGCCTTCTACTTTCTGTCCTAATAAATTGACTACGTAGGTACCTCATGTAAGTGGAGTCATACAGTATTTATCTGTGACTAGCTAATGTCCTCAACATTCATCCATGTTGTAGCATATATCAGAATTTCCTTCTTTTTTAAGGCTGAACAATACGCCAATGTGCGTGCATAGCACATTTGTTTATTCATTCATCCATCCATGGATGCTGGGGTGGCTTCCACCTTTTGGCTATTGTGAATAGTGCTGCTGTGAACACGGATGTACAAATATCTCTTTGAGACCCTGCTTTCAATTCTTTTGGGCAAGGAGCCAGAATTGGAATTGCTGGATCAAATGCTAATTCTCTGCTTAATTTTTCAAGGAACCACCACACCGGTTGCCATAGCGGCTGCCCCATTTTACATTTCTCGTCAGCAGTTCCCGGGGTCCCAGTTTCACCATGGAGGAGCATCGTTAGCCGTGGCTGCTCTAATTCCCTCTCCTTTCTTTTGGAGCACAGGTCAGTCCATCGTGGGTTGTAAGGCCATCCTCATCGACGACCAAGTCTTCGTGGTGGTGGCCCAGCTCTTTGGTGGCTCTCACATTTACAAATACGATGAGAGCTGGACCAAGTTTGTCAAATTCCAAGACATAGAAGTCTCTCGCATTTCCAAGCCCAACGACATCGAGCTGTTTCAGATCGACGACGAAGTGTTTTTTGTCATCGCAGACAGCTCGAAAGCAGGTCTGTCGACGGTTTATAAATGGAACAGCAAAGGCTTCTACTCGTACCAGTCTCTGCACGAGTGGTTCAGGGACACAGACGCCGAGTTTGTGGACATAGATGGGAAATCACATCTGATCCTGTCCAGCCGCTCCCAGGTCCCCATCATCCTCCAGTGGAATAAAAGTTCCAAGAAGTTTGTTCCCCACAGCGACATCCCCAACATGGAGGATGTGCTGGCTGTGAAGAGCTTCCGAATGCAGAATGTCCTCTATCTTTCTCTCACCCGCTTCATCGGGGACTCCAGGGTCATGAGGTGGAACAGTAAGCAGTTTGTGGAGATCCAGGCTCTTCCATCCCGGGGGGCCATGACCTTGCAACCTTTTTCTTTTAAAGAGAATCACTACCTGGCCCTGGGGAGTGACTATACGTTCTCCCAGATATACCAGTGGGATAAAGAGAAGCAGCTGTTCAAAAAATTTAAGGAGATTTATGTACAGGCACCTCGTTCCTTCACAGCAGTCTCCACTGACAGGAGAGATTTCTTTTTTGCATCCAGTTTCAAAGGGAAAACAAAGATTTTTGAACACATAGTTGTTGACTTAAGTTTGTGAAGACGTGATGGGCGAGTTTAAAAGACACTTAGCACTAACTCTCAGAAGAGAGGACCAAGAAAAAATTTGAAAGAAGCCAGGTTCAGAGCTCTGACATTAAAAATGCACTGGGGAAATAGTTAGAAGTTTTCAGACTTTTAGAACTCACATTTTAATCAGGGATTGCGTTTATTGGCTAACTGCATGACATGCCCATTCTCCCACTTAAAAAGATACCTTCAAGCTTGTAATTCCTGAGAAAAGAGTACAGTATTAACTCTTGCTATCTAGGAAAGTAATGTGCTTTTTTTTTTTTTTAATGAGGAAAGAAAATAGGATAAGATAGGACAACTCTTATAATGAAACTTTTTAAAAAGACCGAACTATGGGCCATTCTCATCCCATTTTAGCAATCTTTTTGGCAAGAACTCTTAAAGCGAAAGTCAGCTGAAAAGATTTGCTGATGATAAGTTTAAAAATCTGATAACACTCAGCAATGCTATTTTGAGCCATCCCAATTTCCTGAACCACCCTGCCCCCCACCCCTTACTAGCAGAACCTTGGCTATTTTATTGGCTCGTATGGATGCTTGATATGGGTGTGTCAACAAAATAATGTTTGACAAATTGCTTCCTCTGCTATAGAGACAGTATTCTGCTGACACGTGTCTAGGTCCAGCACGGGCTGTAGGCCCAGGAGTGAGACAAACGAGTTTTCCCCTCTTCTGTGGTTCAAAGCTGGCCCCTGTGGAGGTCGGAGCAACGATGCTTGTTTGATGCACTCCATGACTCACCTGCTTCTCTGAACCCATCCTTTGAGTGTGCAGGTAACCAGCAGACAGGCCAAAGACTGAATGGTGCTTTTTATTCTATCCTTTAGAGCAATAGAACAGGTATTTCCGTCTGATGAGAACTTTTAAAGTAAGATTTTGTGGAGTCAAAGAGGACTTTACACAAGTCTCGATGTTCTTTGAAACCTAGAGATAGCCCTTTGATTGATGCATGTCTTTGCCCTCTGGGCAACTTAATATTTCAAGTAATTGAATAGCAACCTACCTGCCTGCCCACCCGCCTACCTCCCCATTCACGTAACAGTCCTGCTTCGTTGATTCGCTGGTACGGCTGCTGCCAGCACAGCACTGCCAGCACAGCGCTTCCAGATCTGCTGTGGCACTAAATTGCAGAACCTGGAACTCAAGACGGCAGGCCCCTTCCTTTCTCAGTCCTTAGCAGAGAAACACACATGCTTCCACTGGGCCACGTGCTGCCAGGAGGCTCATCCTAGACAGGCCGGGGTGAAGGTGAGGGGTCTCATGCTGATCAGTAGGGACCGAAACTCTGAATCCCACAGACCAGGTCTGCACTCAGGGGACCAGATGGCCGGTTTCAAAATGAGCCTCTCTGGTGTGGACCATCGAGAAGCTTGTGGGGGGGTCTGGTTTTGTGGAAGGTTCTAGATGGATGTTCTGCCCGGTTAGCTGGCTCTCTTTAAAAAATATGATATGAATGCTTTTCGGGGTGACTGTCCAAGAGCGAGCCAATAACTTCTCTTCTAGCCATGAAAGTAGCACAAACATATTGTACCGTATTGTTATTTTGAATGATTGTTTGACAAGTGATGAGTAGGTAGATGTTTTGCCACAAATATGAATGCGTTTGTTGTTTCCAGACGGTAAGCAGTGCAGATGGAGGCAACACACAGCACTTAGAGAACAATGCGTCCGTGTCACGACAGTGCTCTTGGGTACGTTCTGGGACTGCAGGCCAAGGGCTCCGGGGATTTCAATGGACAAACTCATCCGCGCATAGCAATGTTGTTGTTTGAAACTTTCCTACGAAGCACCGAGCAAACAGGAGAAAAGTGGTTTGTTTTTACTTTTTTAAGGCACAAACCACTCTTCCTTCTGCGTTCTTTTGCTTTCCTGGTTTATTTGAACTGACTCAGATCCCAGAATTGGAGGCCGCAAGTGGGACAGCTCTGCTATTCCTCCAGCTGTCAAGACGGGCAAGCTATTCTCTCTGGCACACGGAACCCCTCAGACAAGGCTGGGTGGAAGGGCGGGCGCTCGGCAAACAGCGTAGGAGGCGTTTAGACAGGCCCACCAGTCGTGCAGGGTCGAAATGATGTTCCCGACTCAGATGGAGAAGGCGGCTGGGGCATCTTCACAGGGCGGCCTCTGCGGAGTGGTGCACCAATGTCTCAGCTTCGGCTGTGAGGGTGAGGTTTGGGGCTAACCACGTGCACTCACCACTCTGGCAACCATTGCCTAGAACCTGGAAAATCAGGCAGCATAAGGTGCGGGGCCAGGAGTAAGAGGAAGTGCTGAGTCCAGATGAGACAGGATGAAAGACAGATCTGAAGCGTGATGGGGGGAGGGGAACAGAGTGTGAGAGGGTGGGTCATCCACTCAGCTGCCATCAGGATTTCTTTTCTTTTTCTTTTAAAAAACTTTTAGACCAGACCAGAGTCTGCACTCTGCAGAGTCCCTGTGCTGAGGGAGGAGATATTTGTTCTGGCCGACTTACTTAAGGAGTGTAGATGTTTTTGGCACGAGGAGATGGAAGCTTTGCTTCATGAATCTTACTGCTCCATCCCAAGAGTCCTTCAAGTTTTAAACAATTTCTGCAAGAAGTCTTTCTTCCAGTAATAGTGTAAGATAAAAACAAACAACAATGAAAATCCAAAGCAGAGAGACATGGGGACCATCCCCGTGGAGATAGCTTTAGTGGGGGCTGTGATTGTGTCTTTCTTCCCATCACCTATGGGTTGATCATCTCGGCTTATTTCTTCTTTATACTCTCTGTGGCTAGGCTCCCAGACTCAGTCCCTCCGCATAACCGTGTGGCCAAGACACACAGCCTTAAATGAGGACTTGTTCCCAAACTCCATGGAGTCATTGGTAGATCTCTTAGGAAGACTAAAATTAAACCTTGGGCGTAAATGGTGCTGTGTTCTTCAGCAGTGGGTAATAAGACCACCTTGCATTTCAGCAAAGCGTTGTATTTTTTTTCAGCGTACATTTGTGTTCATCTCATTTTTGTTCATAAACAGTTCTTCAGTTTATCGGAGGGCCGACATTATTCCAATTTCAGAGGGAAGGAAATAGACAAAGAAAATAGAAGTCAGTTGCCTTTTCGAGATTATCCAGTAGTGAGTGTCAAAGCTAGAACTTCCCTTCTGAATAGCAGGCTTTGTATTTTCTTCCTTTGACACTGCCGTGCCCTCCAGACTTTGTAATCACGATTTTGAATATAGCAGCACCTCAAGATAAAATAAAAAATGCAACAGAATGTGCATAGCTAGAAGGAAAATAGTGCTGAATAGACACCATCCAATCAACCGGTCCATTTAACAATTAAACACCATAGAACTGCTATTACATGCAAGGCCCCACTCTTGAAAGCCTTTTGGAAGCTTCAGATAATTTTCTTTTCTGAAGACGGTTGCTAGCTGGCATGGTCGTTTCTCCCCTCACATGGCTATGGAAAGGATGCTAAGGTTGAGATGCATCTGGTTCTTGTCACAATGTCCACAAGATAAACAAGAACAGTTTTGTGAGGGAAACACTAAAAACTTGAATGCACGAGTTATGATGAATTGCTCCCGGCCACACTCAGCCTTTGGGGAGCGTGCTGGAAATGGCAGTGCCGCATTTTTCTTCCCCACGGAGTGAGAGGCTGTATATATTTTAGGAAAGAAATCAGCGTGGGATGCTGGAGGTTTGGCTGCCAAGAACACTCACGATGGAAATTTCTTTGACCAGGGAATAAAGAAAGAGTGGTTGAAGGTTGGCAGGAGGGGAGTCTATTTGCATGCCACCTAAAGAAAATCTTTTTAGCTAGCTCCTGATTCTTCTGCAGAGGTATCTGTCCCTCACTTGCAGCTTTGTGGGCAGTGGCCAAAGAGTCTGTTAAACAGCGTCCTGGAATAGAATGCAGTAATCTGGTTGTTGACGCAGTGAGTGAGATGGTCCAGACTTGGGATACATGTAAAGGGGATGGGCAGAAAAGCAGGGCAGATGGTTGTGGAGGGAACGCTTTGGGGAAAACGGAAATAAACTGGAAGGAAAGAAAAAGTCATCATTGATTTCCTTTGCAAGTAGAGGATGGCGCGACTACACAAATTGACAGCATCCCAATTATTAATGAAGAGAACCAATTAGAACGGTCATTAAAATAAGAATGACATGGAAAGCTACTGAGAAGTAAACCGAGACACTCTTAGCTTTACATCATTCCATTGCTTGTATCAGAATCTACCTTTTTTCTAGTAGGAAACTGCATTCAACCCCTTTGACTATCAGGAATGTATAAGACCTGTGATAAAATAGGCCAATATGCCATTTGGTACCATTTTTATGTATTTTCAATGCATAACGTAGGCAAAATAAGAATAGTTTATATGTATATGAAAGTGAATTTTGCAGTATGCAAGCTACAATGAATGCATTTAAAGGCTGAATATATATTTAGCTCTTTTTGGTAAATAGAGTTAACAAATGATATGCCTCTTAATTCGATATATTCTGTAAACCTATGAATAAAACATAATTCCTGCCTAATATGGCGTTGCTCTCTGGTCTGCTTGAATATGGCTCTGTCCACTTGAGTCACAGAATTGAAGGGCTGCCTGCCCTGGGCTGTGAAGAAGGGCAGAGTGTGCACACGTATCCTCGTAGCTTCCTCCCTGGTAAATGGAGTGTTATCAGGGGCCTTATGCTTCTTCTACTTGCAAACTGAAAAGTCACAACAAGTCACTGAAGAACTTCAGTTTCTCTACCCGCTCTGTGGAATCGTCGTGGGACAGACTGACAAAGAACTATAGGAATTTGAGGATGCCTCCTGATTCTGCGTGGTAAGAAGATGAGATTGCAAGGTCTCTTCCATTGGGCTGAACCGTGAACACCCAGACTGCACGATTTCTGACTTGTTATCTGCGTGCTTGGGGTCCACCCTGGTACACAGTAGGCGCTCAGAAAACCTTTGCTGCATGTCTCTGTCTTTAAGACCCATTTAGTTTAGCTGGACAAATGAAGGGTCAAAAACTCAAATTGCATAGGGCTGTGTACCTACTGTGTGCCAAGTACTTCGATGTGCCATGGGGCCTTTTAAGAAGTAGAAGAACAGAGTTCTTGCCTTCCTGGGACTTACAACCCCGTTAAGAAGAAAAGGCATAATTACCTAAGGCTATAGTTACCACGCAAGGTCTAGGTAACATCTTGCATCACAAAGCAGCACGTGGCTCCTTGTGCAATGAATGAAATGGGTGATAACCTGAGATTTACTTATTGGTATGGCACGTGCACCGAATTCATCTACTGCTGTGTGGCTTTAAACAAAACGAGTGACCACAAATGTTGTGGCTTTAAACAAAACATGTTCATGGATTCGCTGCCGGGTGATAACCAGAGATTTACTTATTGGTATGGCGCGTGCACCGAATTCATCTACTGCTGTGTAACGAGTGACCACAAATGTCGTGGCTTTAAACAAAACATGTTCATGGATTCGCTGCTCTGGTGGGTCAGGGGTCGTGGCACAGCTCAGCGGGGTCCCCTGCTCACAGTGTCTCACGGGCTGCAGTCAAGGTATCAGCCAGATCGCATTCTCATTTGGAGCCTTAACGAGGAGAGGATCTGCTTTCCAGCTCATTCAGGTAGTTTGTAGAATTTATTTCCTTGAGATTATAGGACTGGCAGCCTCATTTTCTTTCCTTTTTCCTGTGTGGGTGTGGCAGTGGATTTTTCTTTTTAAACTTATTTTTAATTGTAGTTCACATGCAATATTATATTCATTTCAGGTGTACAACATAGTGATTTAACATTTATATACCTTACGAAGTGATCACCACAGTAAGTCTGGTACCCACCCGTCACCACACATAGTTATGAAGTCATCGACTGTATGCCCTATGCTGTACTTTACATCCCTGTGACTTATTTTATAACTGGAAGTTTGTGCTTCTTAACCGAGGGCCCCCTTTACTTGCTGACTGTTGGTCGGAAGGCCTCTCTTCAGCTGCGGTGGCCTCCACAAGCCCTCTCACAACATAACTTGGTTTCTCCACGGTTATCAGGACTCATCAGTATGACATCCCATCACCTTTGACCTATTCTATTGGTCTGAAGCAGGTCATGGGTTCTGCCCTCGTTGAAAGAGATGGGACTGTAGAGAACACGACTCACGGAGTACGGGTCACCTTAGGGTGTGTGCACCACAGGTACTAACCAAACAGAACGGATGCCCAGCTGATCAGAATAGATACCAACCATAAACGACTACTGACCTGGGCCCAGTGCATTTCAGTAGAATTTGAGCTGGGAATATAGATGATAAATTCATAGGAGAAAAGGTACCTCAGGCCAGGACGAGTACTCTTTTGACCAGGATAAAGTGGGGAAAGGGCCTCGTTCTTTTTCATTATTGTTTTACCATTACGGAGAAGAATAAAAAAAGAACTGAATTTTTCCAGATTTGCAAGTCAGAAGCTCATTAATCCCACTATCTCGGTGCATTACATCTTGGAACGAAAATGCTCTGTGTAAATTGTCCAGTCCTGACCATGTGCCTATTAGCAAGGCAAGTACACTTATTTTCTCTATTTCTCAGAGAGCTAATTGAGGGCTAACTGTCTAAGAAAAATTGGAGGCATAAGTAATGTGTCACTTTCATTGATCGCTTGTTCTTGCAATTGGTTTTTTACCTGCCTCCCAGACAGGACAACTCTTTACAAAGTCGGGTCTAATTGGCACAAATGATTTTTCCCAACAAATTGGTAGCAGAGCTGAGACTGAAAGCCTTAGACAAAACCCACCTCTTGTGGCCACTGCCCCAGGCAGCCTCTTCTTAAACCTGAGCCGCTCCTGCTGTCAGCCAGACAACGAACCAAAGCAACACAGGAAATGAGACCTACGGTAATAGAAGTGCTACCTCAGAACCCCAGCACTTTCTAAGATTTATATGTGAGCCCTGAGGAACATTCTCCCGCATACATTCCAGATGTCTACTCCAAGAAGTCTGCTAGAAACCCAGAGAAAAAGCACCGCTGATTCCCTTCGCCTTGCAAGAAACAATTGTTAGGGCAGAGAGAAACCTGCTCAGGTCTCCATCTTCATCTCACCCCACCCATCACACGCACGAATGACCCAGAGCCCTGATCAGCATCTTCAGTGGCAGGGCTGAGAGATTCTAGGTTGTGTTGCCAGCCTAGTTAGTTCCATCATCTTCATATTTGCTTTCAAGGGTAGATCGCATGAGCTGAAGAGCATATGAAAGTAAAGTTGGGGACTCAGAAGAAAATAGCGGTCTTGACACTTGTCCTGGCTCCAGCTCACTGCTGCTCAGCCCTGGCGTGATTCATTCTTAATCTCCTACCTGTGTTTTGAGGATTGTATCTGACCCCGAAAAAGATAATAATGCTCTGAAGACCAGCCTGGATACTCAATCTGTCACCAGCAGCTCTGGACTGAATGTTTGTGTCTCCCTAAAAGTCATCTGTTGAAGTCTAACCCCCAACGTGATGGTAGGTGAAGGTAGGGCCTGTGAGAGGTGAGTAGGTCATGAGGGTGGAGCCCACAGGAATGGGATTAGTGCCCTTATAAAAAGAGGAGGAGACACAGGTTATCTTTCCACTTTCTGTCCTGTAAGGATAGAAGGAGAAGGCATTCATCTGCAAGCCAGGAAGGGGGCTCTCGCCAGGCACCTAATCTGCCAGCACCTTGGTCTTGGACTTCCAGTCTTCAGAACTGCGAGAAATAAATCTCTGTTGTTTATAAGCCACCCAGTCTATGGTATCCTGTTACAGCAGCTCGAACTGACTAAGATACAAGCCCCTAGTCTTCGAAGACTGCACCCACTGAGAAATGGGAAAATGCCAGAATACCACCTTTATTATTCGTAAAGGTTATATTGGCGACTGTGATTTATTATCTACAGGCAAGTGGGTTTCCTAACACTGAACCCTGAAATAGACCTGGTCACAGACTTACAGTATGGAGGAACAGGGGACATGCTTGCTCTCTGCATGCAGACCAGGAGGGAGGGTAAGATGGGCTGGAGCCATCTCTGTCCTAACTCACCAATCCCATTAAGACATGCTGCATTGTCTCAGGTGGAAAGTGAAGCCCACAGGTTCATGACGGGAGTGTTATGTTCCTGGGGCCCCTCCACATGGGCAGAGGCACCAGGAGTAGAGAAGAAGTCTTTTCTCCACTAACATCAACAACTCAAGACAAGGCAATGTTTCTTCATCCTTCAATGGATCTGGGGAGCTCAGGCTCCTTATTTTCTAAGTCCACATGCCATTTATCCACAGAGACCAGGGGAATATATTTCAAGCACTTGGAAAAGATTCTTTTGGTATGAAATAGACCAGAAGACAAAGAAAATATTCCAGCGCTGTCTTTTCTCTGCTAACATCAACAACTCAAGACAAGGCAATGTTTCTTCATCCTTCAATGGATCTGGGGAGCTCAGGCTCCTTATTTTCTAAGTCCACATGCCATTTATCCACAGAGACCAGGGGAATATATTTTAAGCACTTGGAAAAGATCCTTTTGGTATGAAATAGACCAGAAGACAAAGAAAATATTCCAGCGCTGAGAGAGGATCTTTTATGCAGGTGATGGGAGTTGACACAGTGGAGTCGATCTCTGTTCTTCCCCACGATCCTTTTCTAGATTTTTATTTGCTGTTTTATATTTTCACATCAAATAGTACCAAATATGATGAACTAGAATGTCATTCCGGGGTCCTGAAAGAAGAAACAGGTCAACTTTAAATTTCTTTCAGTAACATAGAAAGTGAGGAGAAGTTCTTGGCATTTCATATTTTCAGCAAAGTGTAGTATCTGCTCTACTTACTAAAAATGACACTGTCTCCCACCGTTTCCATCTGCATTTACGTCCCGCACGTACCGCTGAGGTAGCTTTTCCTCCTTATGTTTACTGCCAATGCATTTGCATTCTCGGTCACAATAAATAACCCAGGAAAACCCTCCCATGAGGAGGTGCCAGCCCTGGCTCTTTCTAAGCGTAGAGCTACAGGCAATGACTTAGAGTCATGATAGCTCGGAGGAAGGGAAGAGTGGACATTTGCAAAGAAAAATAAGTGAATGCAAATAAATGCTCACTGAGCCGTTAGGAAACTAAGGGCACGAGACTGGAGTGAAATTTCTGTAAGTCGTGGGTGTGGAGGGAGGTCACAGCCGGAGGACGCTCTCAGTCCAGAGGCCACGTCAGCTTCCCCAGCACTCAGGATGTCACCTGGCCGCAAAGGGTTCCCCAACTAATGTTCACCGAAAAGATGTTACTGAATGAATGGTGTGCACTTGTTGAGTGCTGGGCACTAGGCAGAGGGTATCATCTGCCTTAACTCATCTATCCTCACAACTATTCTATGGAGCAGACGCTCTCATACCCCCATTTCACAGCTAAAACCGGCAAAGCCAGAAAATCATGGCCTAAAGCATTTCAGTAACTTCCTCAAGTTTGTATAGTGAAGAGGACCTGGGATACGAACACAGTTAGTTCACCTCCAGAATAGGGTTGGCAATTTCAGATAA